TGTAAAACTGAGTCTGAGAATCAGGCCTTAGGATTTCTTCTAAGTTGACCTCAACTTGAAAATTTAGTTAGCGTAGGCATAGACGAACAATAATAAGTCGACTCAAAGTCACTCCATGTGATATGTATTTCTAGCTGTGGCAAATAAAGTAGGGAAATGAATGGGCTTTCAATCTAAATGTAAAACTTACCTCAGCCTTTTGCTACTAATGATATTACTTTCCGCTCGATTTTTGTTTAAAACTTTTTTTCATCGCGATTCAACCAAATGAAACATCTCAGAATGTTAAATAATTGTAATTTTTGCACATATCGCAGTCTTCGCCATATTCCAAACAGAGTTGTATTTTACAACTCCATTTTGCTTCGGCGAAAAAAGAATCAATCAAGTCGTGTTCTTAATATTTGTTCATATTTTTATGAGACTTTATAGAGAAAAATTTTAGACATTAAAGCGAACTTCTTTGCTAAAATGAAGGGGCTAGGGAGGGGAACTAAGATGAATCTTGAACTAATTTGCCAAATTGTAGAAAATTTTCTTCTTTTTAATTCTGGCGCCTGCAAAAGCTATTAAGAATCTAAGAATAAAATCTCTTTCGTACTTCTTTCTCCGTATTACACGAATAGAAAGCACCGCCCGAGTGAACTCTGGCCATATTTAAAAAAAAAGAAAAAGAAGACAAATAATGATATTAACAAGATTTAAAGAGGATAATAGCCCCTAAGATGGCCAATAAGCTGGTTACCAAGTAATAGGTAAATATGCGAGAAAATTTGCCCATAGAGGAGCAATTGTGGGCAGCAAAACGTTTGCCAAGCGATTGTTGCTCAGTAAGCGCAAAATTGTCTTGTTGATGTTTATCATGAATTGATGATGAAGTGATTTTTACTAAATTACTGTTAACTGAAAGGGTAGCAAATGACTGCAAAGAATTGCTAAAGTAACCTATTGGTCATTTTCCTAATTTCCTCCTTTCCTCATTAGTTTTAAAAGAAAGAGCTGCTCTCGCTAATCATTTGTAAGAAAGAAAGAGAAAAACTTTTTCTTTTAAAGTTGGTCATCCCTGGCCTATAGCATCACATGGGGTGTATAACGAAAAGCACTGTGCATAGTGTTCCTAAATATTTCGTATATTATTTATTATGCTTCACTTAAAGCGATATTTTAAAATCATATCGATTTCATTAGTAATTCTATGCGAAATTTATTGTTTTAATCTGCTTTTTTTTTTCTCTTCCTCTCTCTGTCTGTTTCTCTCTCTCCTTAAAACCACAATTTACCGCAAAATCAAGCAAACGGCGGCAATACTAATAATAATAATGATAGTAATAATAACAAAACAAAAAGCAACGCAGAATAGTGATGAGCTTTATAGTTTTCTTTTTACTCATTTTCAGTTCATTAACACTCAAGTGTCACATATAACCGTGTTTGACACACTTACTTAAAAAACCGCATCAGAGAAAAAAAAAAAAAAAAAAGAGTAAAAATATTACTTGTTTTCGTTGTTGCTCATGGTTTTATATTTTTTTTTTTATATTTGCGGTACTTAAGGTGGTTAACAAATGGAGAATTTCCTCAATACAACAACGATTTCTTTTCTTTTCATTTCGTTGACAAAAACAAAGAGAAACTTTTTGTTTTTTTGCTGTTTGTAGAAAATAAATTTTCAATAAATTTTAATAAATAAACTTTTTTTGTCCAAAAAAAGAAAAAAACAAGAAAGGAAATGATAATCGTTTCAGGTTGACTGAGCAATTAGGGCTTATATAAATCATTAAGTCTTTGTTCTGTTAAGCATGATTGTGCTTGCAATAAGCCTTTGGATGGCACTCGTAAATGCTTGCATTAAATTTTATACTGATGTCCGTTATATGTTGAAAGTTGTACAAGTGAAATATAAGAAAAGACTGCCTTTACAGCGCTTTCATTGTTTAGCTACTGTTACCTTTGTGAAAGCATTGCGCCTATTTTTAATCCTCGTCTATCATTATCAATCTATCAATAACTAATGCTTAGGTTCAGGCTTACTACCACACGGTAATGTAGTTTGCGATGGGTGTATGTGTAGGCAACATTTAGAACGATTTGTCCTTTCACTCCGCTGCTTGCTTCAGTACATAGGTACAAGTTATGATTGGGTGGATGTATGTAATACCCAGAAAAACTTAAGGCATAGCCACCTTTCGTTATATCGATCGCTTCAGGCCCATCTTCTGAGCTTGTCTGTCTCTACGTCCATCTAATGTGCGTCCATGTACTCTTGTATTCAGGCCGCAAATTTTTGAAATATTTGGATGAGTCCTCTTAAGAATGGACCATTCTCCATACAACGCCTTATTTGAATGACATATGAAAATGATTTTTTAAATTTTTGAAAAAAAAAAAATTGCTTAATAATCGAATATTTCGGCATTCTGAATTAATGTGAAAATATTGGATCGTATGGGTCATTTTTTAACTCCTTTCCATATAGTTGTTTCTATAAAAATGGAAGGTTCGCGTGACAAAAGATCTAATTTTTAATACTTCGTAATCAAAATTGTTCCATAACAGCAATTTGACATAGAAATTGATCTTACGAGATTTGGATTAGGGACGTCTATTTTTTCAACTCTACCACTTATAAAAATTTTCATGAAAAATTAACTGTTATACAGCAAAAATCTATATAGCTTTTGATTTTTCATAAACCGAAGCAATGACTCGGTGCAATTTCGCGGTAGTATCCTAAAGAGTCCTTTATATTTTTTTTTTATGCCTGATAACAAAATGCAGTAAAAAACAAGAATTTGTTTTGGTAAATAAATGATTGTAGGAAGTTTGAATGGGATGGCACCCATCTTATATGAAAGTTTTGTAAAAGGTAGGTGTTTATATGATAACAAAGAGTAATGTTTAGTATTTTAGAGAGTTTACTGTGCCAAAAATTTGATCCACGTTGGTCCTTTTCTCAAACTTCCTCTCATATAAGGATTCTCATTAAAGAGGTAAACCTTTATGTAACGAAAAGGTATAGTTTTTCATATTTCATGATAAAGATAGGTTCAGAGTTGCATTACGCAAGGTGGTGTTTCGCCTTATTCAACTTATCCTAATTTTTGCGATAGCTTTAAAAAAAAAAAAAAAAACGATAAAGCTCTTACGAGACTATAAAAGCCCCGAAGACGAACTGGACAGATGGACGAACGGATATCGTCAAGTCCGTTAAATATCCATTGTTACGTTCATTCCGAATATGTGAAATATTCCTGCATTTGTGGCACACTTTTCTTTGCTAATCATGCTCCTTTAACTCATTAGTATAAAGTATAGAAGAAGAATCAAACAAGTAAAAAGACTATAGTGCGTCGCGGCTCACCATAAAATACCCTGCACCATCCTATTTTTTCTCCCCTTCACCCACCAGTTACTTATATAACGAAATTGACGAAAAAGTGATCTAGCCCGAATCATTTTCAATAGCATCTTTGGGCCAAAACAACTTGGTGTACCAAATTTTATGACCTATGGGTTGTACATAGGAAAACAGAAACAGACAGATGGACGGACAAGATTAGATAAGCGTCAAAAAGTGCTTCTGAATCGAAGGGTATAATAAAGTTTGCGCCTATTTCAAGCTGCATGCACACACGCACAAAATTAATATACACTGGTAGTGCACTTGGTGCGGGATATAATGAATGGTAATTGTTTTGTTGGTGTAGGGTTTTGCCATTTATAGTGCTTTAATGCCAATAATAAGTTTTCCGGTTCTGCAGATATTGTTCGGTATTGACAACATTTCCTGTAATTTTTTTTTCGTCGTCTTTTTTTCTTTGCTTTTCTTCTTCTTTGTTTTTTTTTTTTTTTTTTTTTTTTGTTACTATGGAAGCATGAAATGCGAAAAAAAACAAAAAAAAAACAAATTTGTAAATAAATTTTTTTTTTTTAAACGATTTCCGTTAAAGAAGAAATCGTTTAAAGGTTGTTTGATGAGGGAAAAATCGAAACTTTTCCTTCAAATAGTCGCTTAATTTACTTGCGTTACTCTAACGCTTTTTAAAATTATATCCGGCCTTCAATAAAGTAGTAAACGGAATATGTGTTAATAATAAACTTTTAGTAATCTCCACTATTTATATTATTTTTTAAATAATTATTATGTTACTTATGCTATATTTTTATTACATTTTTTCTTTTTTTTTTTATTAACATCAGCTTTTTTTCTCGTAAAGTTGGCACGCAAGCGTATAGATTGTATGAATCATTTTAAAAACCACACATCAGACAGCATTTATATCCACCAAGCACTTGCTGTTGTCTTTTTTTTTTTTTTTTTTCTTCTTTGCAACCTCTCACTATTTCTTTTTATTATAAATCACGGAAAAAAAAAAGTAAATAAATTTTTATTTGAAGGAAAAAAAAGCCAAAAAAAAGTTACTAGAACCACATTTGTTTTCGTCACGTCCTTTGCGTATCGTTCGCTAGTTGCATGCGTTGACGACAACGTTTGCGATGAGACTGAATACAAACTAAACTTAATCGCAGACATTAAAGCCATAAGAGACTTGAAAATATATAACAAGAATTGGACATTAGAGCAGATAGGTTCATATAGTTTGTATAATAAAATGGAGAGGAAATAATGAGTGCTTATGTGTAAGTGCGCGTGTATGTGTGCGTGTGTGTCTATGTATATATGTATATATATGTATGTATTATGCGGATCTTGCAACTCTAGCCAGTAGTCAAGAGTCAGCGGCAATAATAATAATACAACAGCGACATACAACATGACATACTTTATATGATACAAAAAACAAACTAACTACAGTGACGGCGTAAAAATTCTGATTTAAAAAAAAAAAATAAATAAATAATTTCTTATATAATATAATATATAGAATTAATAAAATAATTGTTATCATTTTTATTACTATTATTTTTTTAACATAAACAGATTTTTGCACTTGTTTTTCAGATTTAAAAATATTTTCACTTTTTGTAAAATGTATTCTTTCCTTTTCTTGCCAATAAAGAAGAAAATATAGAATCAAATCTTTTTTACACGATTTTAGAATAACACGGTTTCCTAATGAGAGCAAATACATTCTGCCTCCTCACCAGACAAGGAAGTTGATAGATTGTTTCATTAAATCGAAATGGAATTCCTCTCCTTTACCAAACGGGGAAGAAAATTTATATATATCAACTCTTTTTCTACGCGGTCTTTTTTACACATTTTGAAATCACACGATTCACCAATGAGAGCAGTCAAAGAAGCTGATAGATTGTTTCATTAAGTCGAGATGGAATTCCTGTTCTTCACCAAGCGGGGAAGAAAATATTGAACCGTTTTTTCTTGAAATTCTAATTTTGACTGTGTCTTACAGAAACTTATGTAGGCAGCAACGAAATATAATTGAGAAAACATTGTGATCAGAAGTCAATCGGTTCATGCTCGCACATGTGTTGTTAACTTGGCCAATAATAACGGACGAAATTCTTCACTTGAATCCAAGCCGACAGTTGCGCTAGTTATACCCGACATCGCATTTTTGATCCAGTTCGTAATAAAGGTGCACACTTATTATTCAGTAGCGATAAATAGTTGGGAAATTGATTTTTATTTCTAATTTCAGTTGCAATCTTCATATGTTGGTATGTACTTACATTATTTGTAGAGCCGATAGCCTGTCTTGCTAGTGCTCAATGTCTTTTTTTTAGTCTAAGAATTCATTTCATTAGTCTAAAATTAAAATACTAATAATAATAATAATAATACATTATTTGTAATTTGTTTTTTGTATGAAAAATGAATGGTTTTTGTTTTATAAATATGTAACATGGATTTCATTATAACTTTTTTTGCACGGTTTTTTGAAAATACCTCTAGAGTTTTTTTATCTTACACAATTTTTTAAAGTTGTGAAGCACATCACCAAATTTACCATATGACTCATTTACACGATTTTTTTGCGCGATTTTCTAAGAGACGTAGCTAGCGCTTAAAAAACAAAAGAGTTGTTTGCATTGCCTTCTTAGATGAAGATGAGATTTTGTTGTCAAAACCGTTTTATTGCTAATCCTGAAGTCGCAAAAGTTGGGGATAGAAATGTGAACCTTGAGGTAATTTACGTACATTTTTGATTCATATATTAACACGTTCGCGGACATTAACAATTTCAGGGAGCTGCAAAAATAGACAGGCAATTATTTTTGAAACTAGTTGTAAAATCCAAAATCGGATTATACATATATTATAAGAGTAGTCAGAACATCGTATTTTAACTGTTATATGATATGATTGTTATAGCATCCACGACAATATAGATGAAATGTATATTAATTACAAAAACTTAAGGTTACATGAAATTAAATGAACAAAAATTGGCTTTAAAATTTGAATGCTCTAGCATTCACGTCATTTTGTATCACTATGAAAATGAATGCTATAGCATTCGCATCCGCGAACGTGTTAAGATAAGTTTTTAAAATGAACAGGATTTGCTTGGAAATATGGTTCCAGGAGCTAATTTATCGCGGCGTCCTACTCTTCATTAGGCCCGTGGGAATATTGCTGTAAAATTATCATAAGGGGTAATGTAGCCTAAGAATTACAGGAAGACGAGTGAATTAGTTCACTAATATCTTTCCTCTGTAAAATTGTACGTAACATTAAAGCATGCAAGACTATTAAGGAAGGCATTACCAACAATCTAGATAACTTTGTCGGTAAAGAAGAACAGCAAGAGTAAAGATTTGTAGGCAATCCAACTATATGCAGTTAATTCTGTGAGAGAATAATGAACTAGGGACATCTTACTTCTTAACGTACTGACCGGTGACGCTTGCAATGATGCAATGAGGTTTAATGTCGTTTTTCAATCACGTCTCGAAAGCAACTCTTCCGCTCTAATGTTTTTCCATTTCAATCTAGCCTTAGTCTTCTTACACTTATCTTTGACCTTTTTCATTACGGAACTGAACTATTTTGAGAAAGTGGGTACACTTTTCCTTTCCCTTTTTTATCTCGATCACTGATGAAGCGGGGTGGTTTCCTTGTATTAAAACGGAAGTGTTTCAAAGATCTTTTCAAATGTAACAGTTTGTTTGGAACGTAATTTCATTTTTTTTTTTTTTTTTTTTGAAAATTTACGACTTCCTTGTAGTGAATATATACTTTATTGAATCTTTTGCCATCTTTCTGGCAGTAGCATGATTCTACGCTCATAAAATTTTTGTTCTTTGTTAGCAAAAAATAGTAATCCAGACGATTATTGACCTCCTCATTTCAAGTAAAAAATTTTCTAGAGACCGGAGCAAACAATAATTAGAAGATGGCAAATCCGCCAGAATATGGTGAGTGTGGCAGTAAACCCCCATTCAAATTGTAACAGCTTTTAGCGAATTACAAACTTTTATGAGGTCCCGCATTATCTTGTTAGAACACTATATCTTCTCGGCCTCTTCCGGGCTTTTCCGTTCAAACAAATCATTCAGTTTCTCCAGCTCATGACAATACATTTCAGAATTGATCGTTGTGTTGTCTGGTAAAATATAAAAGAAAACCCCCTTTGAAATCCCACCAATCATCGACTGTTATCGGCAACAGGCCTTGGCTTGAAAAAAAAGTTGAAAAAATTACTTTCCGAACAATCTTACTCATCAAATTCTAAATTGATTTAGGCAGGTCGGTCCATCCGTCCGTCTGTGCAATGTCTGTGGTAAACAAACAGGTGATACAAAAATGAAGATGTCCGCTTTAATTTCCGCAAAAATATTCAAGGTTTTCGTACACGGGTAAGTGCTGAAATATGGATCATATCGGTCGAAGAAAGCAGCTACAGCGCAACCTAAACTGAAAAAATGTCCTTACTTGCTTTTAGGCTTTTTTACTCGTTGAAGGTATGGAAGATACGATTTTCTTTTCTTTTTTTTTTTGTCCCAGTTATCGAACCTGAAGAAAGAATGTTGTATTAGACTCGAGTCTTAAAGACAAACGATTTAATTGCTGAATGAAATACTTAATTTTATGACATATCAAACTTGTTTTATTAAAATATATTTGGAAAGCAGTTTAACTATAGATAGTTCTTATATTCCAAGAGTCCCAACCGTATGTTGGCAAAAGCCACCGCAACAAGAAAGCATTATTGTTTAAGGCGTATAAAAGGTTGCCACAGATTTGAAAATTTCAAAGCACCTTAGCTTTCCAATGAGACATTTTCTTGTGAGCACGAAATTATAGGTCTTTCCATCAAATTCATTTATGAAAGAGTAAACAACGCATTCAAACGGCTCTTTAAACCCTTAAATTTAGTATGTGTGGATTTAAAGGCTGCCGGCTAATTTAGATTAACTTGTCATTGCAAGCTGCACCGCACTTGATCACCCGCGGCCATTGAGCCGTTTGCTGCGATCCGTCTAAATAGCCGATTATGGAAACGCAAAAAATTTTTTTGGAATATAAATAGATGCTTGCATGTATTTTGTTCACTTCTCAGTTCAAACAGAAGGAACATTAGTACTAAATATGTTAATCGAAATATTTTCCATCATTTTCTACACCTTTTCCCCCTTCTTCATGCAACGTGGCGATAACGTGGTTTGGCAGCGATTCAATCATCGAACCCCTTTTCGCATTTCTTTAGTATCTCAAAACCGCGCGCCAGTCAAGCCATGTCGTATCGATCTGAAAAGCATCAAAAGGCGCTATGTCTGGTAAGTACGCTGGGTGCGGCACAATTTCTAGTTCGAGCTGCAGTAGTGTATTCTTGGCAACTCTTGCAATGTGCGGCCGATCGGCATCACCATAAGCTTCTAAAAGTATCTCAGCAGATTCCTTTAAATCAAACTACAGAACTAATGGATGTCGTAAATGCATTTTTAAGAGTTCCATGACTAGCGTCTGTATACACTGAATAACTCAACAATACTAAAAGGAAAAACTTTGTTTTTTGTATAGAGAAAAGGTTAAAATAGTCGGAATTAGCCGTTATGTACATTGATACTTCACATTACTCTATTATTTTCACGAATGGATGTCGCTAAACCAAATACATGCAATAATCCATTATTAAAAAATGATTTAAGGACAAGAGATCATTCGTGTCGCTGTCGGTTCATGCACCTAATTTCTTCTAATTGTATTTTATATACAACCTACAGATCGTAATATTTGAAATATTTCTACGAAATTTTATACATTTACGTGCTCTGGTCAAAGGACTTTGTCCATTCAAAATTGATGAGAACGTTCTACTTCGAGCAAGTAATTATATAAAAAAAATATTCTTAACTTCCAAACTTTCTCGACAAGGAACGCTGATTAATAGTATTTCACTCTTTGAGTGTAATGTATGTATGTACCGTAGAACGTTTCTGCGAGAACTAAGGCTTTATATGATAGAGGGATTTAATTTTTAAAATTTCATCATAAAGATGATTATAGTAGATTAATATAAAAATAAATTATAAAAAATTTAGATCATGAAAATCTATTTTTCAGAACACGCCTTCTACAAATGCTCTCGATAAAAGTTCAATTTTTAGTGCTTCAACAGGGTAATAGGTAAAGAATAATAAGCTCTTGGTTAAGGAAATTCATTCTCCTATATTTGCACCACTCGGTAAGTTTACCTCTTAGGTCCGCTGCTATATTGAAGAACATGCCTTTACGAAGTATAAATATTTTGATATTTTATGGTGAAAATAAATGACGAACTGTCAGAGGCACAGGTGTGCAGTTTTTGTTCAGCTTCGCCCCAAGTGGTTTCTTTTAAACAAAACAGCAGACAAGTAAAACCCGCCGAAGTGGCCGAGGTGGCAAAGGATCTCGACTAATAAGTTAGTCGTTGTGGATTCAAATTTCAAGGGCAGTCAAGTTTTCAATAAAGCCCACAGTCTTAGACGTTAGTCCTTCAAGTCTTTTGTTTTAGATATTATTTCTCTGGCTAAATTAATTACAATAATTATAATAATAATAATGATCAGTTTAATTAAACTCTCTTGCTATTTCTGAATTTTTAGACTATTCAGTTTTTTATTTTATTTTATACCTTGCACTGAAGACCTTAAGAGCTTTTTGTTTTTAGTATAAATAATAAGTAAGAAAGAAATCCCAATAATAATAAAATTTTCCAATTAATGAATTAATATATTTTTTATCTTTTTTTATTTTGATATTATATATATATTTACACGTACGCCACTGTTTAAATGATTCTTTCACTTCTACACAAAAATTCATATAATACACGTCATCATTAATATAAATAGAAAACGCATTAATACGCTCTACGTAAGCATACCGTCCACCATCATTTCCCACCCGACCATATATATGCATAGAGGTGTGTAAAAAAAAAAAAAAAAAAGAAGCGAGCAAACAAAGACCAAGCCGGGCGTACGATTAATGATATAGTCTCGGTCTGCTTTCAGTATTTGTATCCCATCTATATATATATATGTATATATATATGTATATATATATGTAGATACATAAACACCCATTCAAATAAACTAATAAAAGAAGTTGTTGAATCGAGTAGAATGAGAATAAAATAAAATAAAAAAAAAAAAAGGCAAGATATAAATGTGTTGATACATATATAACTCTAGTGGTCATTTTATATAAACAACAAAAACAAAAGCAATTCTGAAAGAATAAAAAAAAAAAAAAAAAAAAAAGGAAAAGAAACCCGTAGAAAGATTCTCAACTCTCTAGAAGAAAACGGAGAAGAAGAA